TAAGTATTATGAGACATTTTATCATTTCATCATGTTTCAATCAAGTACAGGGTCATCCTGTATGATTGAATACATTATTATTATTTTGAATGTTAAGCATAAGCAATATCAAATGTTCAATTATTCGATTCAAGTTGAAACCAACCAAATCTATGGAATTGTTGTCAAAATCTCCGTGAGCTGCAACCGGCTCTGTGTTTCGCATGTTAATTTGCACCGTTTTATCAGAAAGAGATGGAACAATGGATGAAACATTTGGTTAGCGGAAATTGATACATAAAAGTGTGTTCATAAGAATAAATTTTGAGACCTAACCAAACATCGGATTTTGATTTCGTTTTCACCAACAGATTTGGAACATATTTAGGTATGTCTGCGTGGTGAGCTGAATCTTGTCAATTCAATTTTGAATTAGTTATTCGGTTTGGAAATGACTGAATTTTTAGCGCTTTTTGATAATTTTTTTTACATCGATGAACGCATTTTTTGATCAAAAACAATCCATGAAAACATAGTCGACGACCATATCTATGACACAGCGAAAACAGAAATCGAAACAAACGCAAGATGTCCTCATATTTTGTATTCTAGAAATGCCATAAAATGACCCATTTTGGCTATTATCCGTTCCTCTTAACCCAAAAACATTGTCAAGGCAGTTCGTTTGATCGATCAATAATTTTCCTAATCAAATGAAAATATTATTTCAACAGCGAATTCTTGCGAATTCCACCAAAGACTTTCATTCAGGGTATCTTGACAACATGGCATTTACTTGAGTTGACATGAAATGTGGAATGCTACGCATCTCGCGGCAAGAGGTTTCATCACGTTTCGCTCGCTATGGATTTTTTTCTACAGAATTCTGTAGCATCCAAGTTTCGCGATTTTTTTTGCTTGCACCTTCTTGTATAATGTCTCTTCGCTGAGATAACTATAAACACATTGAAAAAACCTCAAACTTTGATTCCCTGAATATCAGAAACAAAGCTCCCACGCATATATGTTCACATGAACTTTTCATCTTGAAAATACGTGTTCTTCAAGCTGTTAGAGTCCTGCTACCAAAAACTGACTCACCCTGTAGAAAGCCATTTATTAATAGTAAATTATGCGTCAGAGCGTGAATTGTGATAGAGCTCATCATTCAAACCTCAAATTGGTATTTTGAAGGTAAGTCAGGCTATATGTTTCTTTTAACTTGAAGTGGTGTAGTTATCACAGGATATTCAACAGAATTATTGCAAGAAACGATGTTTCCTTTGTTCAAATGCCATTGGATTATGGATCAAAATTAGGCCAGTAAGGATAATGATAATAATATTAATAATTTCTTTCAAGATCACACAGAATGATATGACATGTCAGGATTACAGCTACAAAAATACAAAAATATATGAATATTAAATTCAATAGTGCATTGATTTAGCACATTATAATCACTAGAAATCGTATACATGCATTTCTCAATAAAAAATTTTTGAGAGCTCTTTCAAAAAGATTTTGATCATTCAAGGTTCTTATGGATACTGGGAGACGGTTGAAGAATTTTATTCCATTATACCGTGGACTGTGCTCATATATGGTGGTTGAATGTTTAGAGACACAAAATTGTTTACCATGTAGAATATCTTGTAGAATACTTAAGGAAATCTTGGTTTTTACGGAATTCAGTGAAATTATTCATAGCATACAGAATACTTATATTGACGAAAATGTCAAGATTTTATGGTTCCTAAAGTGTTCTCTAAGGTACTACGGATATTTGATATTAAAATTGAAAGATTAGACCCGAACATTTTCTAATAGGTATAATAGTCTAAGATCCGAACCTAAGTCGACCTTCACCGAGCTGATAATAGAACGAAATATATTTTATCATGAATTTAGTATATTAGAAAACATATTAAAAATGGGTTGCCTAAAAAAATCCTGGGCAGACTATTTTTAATTATTTTTCGAAAAATTATTTTTAATTAAATGTTGCAACATCAGGATAATAAAAAAATTGTGTCCTGACTGAAAGTATGAAACGTATAGAATGTGCAGCCGTTGGGGTGTCTACTATTTACCTGGGCGAACTACTGGGTTGTCAGGTAAACACAGGTATATCGATGCCAGTTACTTTCACTGGATTGGATAATTTAAAAAAATGTATATCATCATAAGCGCTGTTTAATTGCGAACACGTTGATATAGGGTTGTCTGCGAAAATTCCGGTCCGATTAGGGGTTTTTAATTTCAACGCGCGTGGAAGTGTGTGACAGAGAGATCCGAGGTAAGTATACTGTGTGATAATAAAGGACCCAACATCGCAGTCGCTTGTGATGGGACCCTGAATAGTAGAAAGTGCGCATGCTCGGTGTGTAAACTATGGAGGGTAGAGGTACCTCTACTACCCTTCATATAGTAAACAGTGCGTGTTATTTTGGAGCAACTGATATTTCAGTAGCAAAAAAAAAAATTAATTAATTACATAATAATTAAATATATTTAATACAATACTAATATATAAAAACAATATAATATCAGTATATTGCGTTATAACCATAATGATATATCTATAATCTATAATAGACAATAAAAATATCAAATACTTACTTTGAAATTTTTTTGCTCTTTCTGGAAATAGAAACAAAGTGGACCGCCAAAAATTTAAATTAAGAAATAACAAAAAAGATAGACTAGACATCTTGTATTACGATTTGAAATTTTATTAAAAAACAGTATAAATACAAAAATAATATTAATGAAAAATAAATTCTAATAAATATTTTCTATTCAATATCTGATTCATCAGAAGTATCATTTTGACTCTCGAATTCGTCTGATTCATTAGATTCTTCCTCATTTGCTTCCATTTCGACAATGTCCTGGATTTTCAAAGGAGTTTGATCTCCGATAAAACCTGTTGGTTTTAAGAAATCATCAAAATGCCAACCATAGTTTTCAGGATTTGACTTCGCACACTTTCTACTATTCAGGGTCCCATCACAAGCGACTGCGATGTTGGGTCCTTTATTATCACACAGTATACTTACCTCGGATCTCTCTGTCACACACTTCCACGCGCGTTGAAATTAAAAACCCCTAATCGGACCGGAATTTTCGCAGACAACCCTATATCAACGTGTTCGCAATTAAACAGCGCTTATGATGATATACATTTTTTTAAATTATCCAATCCAGTGAAAGTAACTGGCATCGATATACCTGTGTTTACCTGACAACCCAGTAGTTCGCCCAGGTAAATAGTAGACACCCCAACGGCTGCACATTCTATACGTTTCATACTTTCAGTCAGGACACAATTTTTTTATTATCCTGATGTTGCAACATTTAATTAAAAATAATTTTTCGAAAAATAATTAAAAATAGTCTGCCCAGGATTTTTTTAGGCAACCCATTTTTAATATGTTTTCTAATATACTAAATTCATGATAAAATATATTTCGTTCTATTATCAGCTCGGTGAAGGTCGACTTAGGTTCGGATCTTCTACTATAATAGCGTTGTCATTGTAGTCAAATTGTCTTTCTCCTTGTTTAAAATACGCGACTGGTGAAGAAAAGTGTAAACATTGACGCACAGTTTACAGCGATGCCATCTCTTTCTAACTTATTTGAAACTCTGGAAGTGTGTATGATTGTAAACTAATAGTGTTTTATGAATGGAATGTTATGTCTCTCCTCCTTTTATACACTCACCGGCAAAAAAAACGGCCACCAAAAAATTTGCCCAAATTGTTCATCCTGTAACTGTTTTAATCCTTGTCCGATTCATGTGAAATTTTGATTAAATTGTAGATTCATGTTCCGAAATGTTAGCCTGAATATTAGTTCCCGTCGAAAGCAGATGACTTGATCATTATACAGGGAAAAACAAAAGTTGCCCTTTCACCCTCTACTTCTTAACGCCCTGTGGCAGAATTGAGTGGTTAAACGTGGCTTCATTATGCTTTGAATTGAATTGTGGTCCCTTCTGAACACAATTGTTTTTGATTCACGTCAATATCATATTTTCAAGAGAAGATACGAGTGTTTCAAGAAAGTATGGCATTTTTCAATTTTGATAAACAATAATCAGAACCTACATAAACTCATTGAATAACAACTTGTAGAATGAATTGAACTTATTCTTTCTACCTCATTTTCTCAGCACTCACCGGAAAAAAAACTTAATTACAAAAAAACCAGACCTCTAGTCAATAGCAAGTATGCCCTCCAGTTTATTACAGCTCACAACCGCTGTGGCATCCAGTAGATCAAATTTCTCAAGTAGTCTTGAAGAATTGCCTGAAATTCTCCTTGAACCCCTGGAGTTGATCCCTTTGGATGCTCTATAGGTTCTGAATTATTGTTTTCTTTTATACTTTCCTTGAACACTTGTATATTCTCTCAAAAAGAAGATATTGACGTGAATCAAGAACCATTGTGTTGAGAAGGGACGAAAAAGGATTAGGTACTCTTCAATTCAAAACATGATGAAGCAGAAGCAGGTTGGAGAATGGTTCTGAATTATTGTTTGTATCTTGTATTTTCCCTCAAAAAGTGGTTATCTACGTGAAATAAAAATCGTTATGTTAAGAAGGGATCATTCTTCAATCCAAAATATAGTGAACTCAAGTTCAAACACTCACCTTTTCCACAGGGTGTTAGAAAATTAAGAGTGACAGAGTAACTTCTGTTCTTCTGTGTATAATGATCAAACCATCAGCTTTTCTTAGTACCTAATATTCAGGCTAACATTCCGAAACATGAATATACGATTTGGTCCAAATTTCACAAAAATCGGACTAAACATAAAAAAGTAACAGGGCTAATTATTTGACTAAGCTTTTTGGTGGCCGCTTTTTTCTGCACTCGTTTATTACTCGTTACTAAAAGGACGTTCATAACACTTGTTACATAATATACTATTTATGAATAAAATGTTATGTCTCCCCCCTTTTCAATGTCTACGATTTTTCACCTTATCTATCATTCAAACCGCTCACTCACCATTGCATATCGAGGAACGGCGCGTTCACCACGATGTTCGGCAGCGAACTCGTCGCAGGCGCCGTCCCGTAAATCCCCCGCACGCCGTTCACCTCCCCCTCCGACCCGCCCCCGTCTTCTTCCCCGCCTCCTGCCCCCTCCTCCACCTGTCGCCCCTCCTCCTCCGCCTCCTCCCCCTCTCTGTCCTCCTCGAAGGACGGCGGCGGCACCGAAGGGGCGGCGGAGGCAGCGACTCGCTGCTCTCTGGTGGTGCCGGGCGGGTCGTTGGGGCGGCTGTAGCAGGTGCATCGGCAGCAGTTCGGGGGGTCCTGGGTCCGGTTGTCCTTTAGAATGAAAATGGGGATTGTAACAAAAAGATATAATGTGTTGAAAAGGAATATTCTCAGATATATTACGAACATGAGAACAATTGATACATTGAGAATAATAATAATAATAATAATAATTTTTATTTTCCAATGGACAACGATATTCATGTATAGGAATAGTAAAAAAATAGTCAAATATACCTGATAGAGGCACTAATAAATATAGGAACTGATAAAATATTGTAGATCATAATATAAAGGAGCAATACACAAAGATATACAATAAAGAGTAAGATACAAAAATTTTAAGTACATAGTGGTTGAGATGAACTAACATGAATAAAATGAAAACACTAACCCTGTACATGTGGAGCAAAATACTCCTCTAATGTATAGGGAGATGATTGAATACTCTCAGTCCTAAGTATGATGGAGAGTTGGAACTCACCTTGTATTTGACGTATGGTACATGGAATTCGTCATTACGCCTAGTTTTAATATTATGAATATTTTCATTTCGAGGAAAATCATTCTTATTATCGAAGACATAGAGACACAACTCAAATATAAATATGCCTACTGTTAGAAGTTTATTTTTGGGAAACAGTTTTCTACAAGAATGTGTTTTTGGAACCTTTGCTATAATTCTAAGGACCTTTTTTGTGCAATAAACACATCCTGTGATAATGTGGATCCACCCCAAAGAAGAATACCATAACGTATTCTCGAAGCTACTTGAGCATAATACAACATCATCAATTGTTCTTCAAGCAATACTCCACGCAGATGTCGAAACATATAGCAGAATGAGTTCAGCTTTGAAATAATACTATTGCAGTGAAATTTCCAACTCAGACATTCATCAATTGTTAATCCTAAGAAAACTGCTTCATCTATTGCAGTCAACGTTTTACTATTAACTGTAATTTTTAATTCTGAAATGTTTTTCTGTGCATTATGAAACCTCATGAAATAGGAGAGTGGACTAATTTTTTGAATTCTTAAATAGAATCATCACTCAAATACCTTTCAATTCCTTTTTTTAAGAATGTTTCGGTCGATTTTAAGGTTCCAAAATCATCACTAATGCCACGGTAATTTTCAAACGGCTAGACCATTTTTGGCATGGCATGTTTTGTGACTGTTAGTCACGTTTTGAGATGTTATTGATCATCATCAGTGACCTGCAAGTGTTTCAAATAGTCATGTTGCCGTACAAATTTGGTGATAACTTTTCAGAGGTCAGACTGGAAACTTCCAGTTTTTTTTTCCAGAAAGATATTTCCTTCAGAAATATTTTTTGTATCTTGCGCATTTTTGAGAATTAATCTAATTAGTCGGACTGTTTATTGATCATGGCTACACTGTATTCTTATTGTGAACAAACTGATATGTTGCTGGTCCTCGCGGACTTTACAAGTACTCTTGCGTCACAAATTTAGCGATAACTATTCAGACTTATCAAAAATTAACACAATACAAAAAATATTTCTGAAGGGAATATATTTCTGGAAAAAGTCTAACCTCTGAAAAGTAATCACCAAATTGGAATGGCAACATGGTTGTTTGAAACACTTGCAGGTCACTGATGATGATCAAAACCATCTCAAAACGTGATTTACAGTCACAGAACATGCGATGCCAAACATTATGAAAATCGATCTCCGTCTACTCTGCAAAATTATTTTTTTCAAAAAAAAATTCAACGCCTTGTACCAACTCAACGAGACGATTTTGGATATAGGTGAGTTGGCATGAATCAACTTGTTTGTATCCCAGGAGTCCACAGCCGAGCCATGTCCCAACCTTTTACAGATACCCACCCAGTATGTGTAGTAGGACAAATCAGATGATTTGCCCCAAAATGCCACTGCGTTCAACAAATTTTTTTATCAGGGAGCCTGAAATAAAAAATCCAATAGCTTGTCAGTGACACTTTGTTTGGAAAAATGTTTGAAGATGTCAAACTACAAGAAAAACATTTTCGAAGAAAAATATTTTACATTTTTATGTTGAGAACGGGAGCAGATTCGTTCCCGAAACATCCAAAGATAAGTGTTCAAGAACGTTTTCACTCGTCTTTTTGTCTAGTAATAGTTTGTATAGTATTTATAATATAGTGTGTTGATATGTATACATATATATGGTGCACAAAGAATCACTTTTTGAATTATACCGCTGTTTCGCGTTCATGAAAGTTACTTCCAATCCTGTGGACAGCGACCCCTGAGGGAGAAGAGAGAACCAGGCAGACGCAACGAGCGAAGCGAGCGGAATCGAGCGCGCAGTTGACTCCTTAAATAAAATCGATAAAAAACATATTTCACTTCTGGAGCAGCCCTGGAACCCGAATTTCCTGGAATGGTGCAAATTTCAACTGTTTAACCCATTAGTGCCCAGAATAATTTTTTTCGATTTTGAAAGTGATTTCAGTATTTTTCGTATGAATTATTATTAGAATTAATGAAAAATCATGAAGTTTTGTAAATGGAGTTTCCAATCCTTCAGAATTAGGTGTTACATATTTGTAACGCTAGGAACTACTGTTAGCAAAAAATACATATATTAAAAAATTAAGAGTATTATTGAAAAGCATATAAAAAAAATTAAAATAGGTAGTTGCCATCCTGTTCAAATATTTTTTGTGTGGTAGTCAACAAAACAATCAATGCACAAGCCTACATTACATTTCTTGCATTGGGAGCGTGTTGAACTTTTACAAGATATTCCAGCACAACGTCTTCTCTTGTTGTTTGGAATTTTTTCAACAAGGTGGTCCATCCTGTTATACCTGATTTCATCATTTACCCCTTGTGCATTGGAAGATGGCATTGGAGTTCTGCCAGTGCCTTTGGGAGCTGACGCATATTTTTCCAAGTAGACTTGCACAATGGCCCGTCTAAAATCTATTTGGCCGATTTGGGAGTTTCTGGATTTCCGATATAAACACCATGCGTTATTTATTGAAATGTCAAGGAGCCATGTGAACAATGCCCAGTACCATTTCCTATTCCTTATTTGGATCCTGTATTGTCCAACATTTTGGTCCATTCTATCAGTACCACCCATTTTTTTTGTTGTACTTAGCAAGTAAGGCTGGTCGGCTTACTTGTATGTGTTTTTTCTCCTTTTGCGAGTAGCGTCTGACATTTGCCACAGGATTGATACCATATTGATTGGTAGCAATACATACTACAGAGTTATCAACCCACTTAGCTACTAAAATACCATCTGTTTTACTAATAACGTTCTCGAAATAACCTCTTTCCTTTTTTCCAAGGAGTTTTTTATCAGATAAAGGACAGCTTCTTGGTAATCGGTTTTCCCTAATGGTCCCAGTTCCTCCATATCCTTTCAAACGTAAGTAGGACAATGAATTGAAAGTCGTGAATAAATTGTCGAAGTAAAACGAGAATTGCAAGGATTTCAGATTATTGGGTAGTTCTTCTATCATTTTGACCAATGGTGCTGCCGCTTTTCCAAAGTTTCTTTCAATGTCAGCGTCAGGGGTTATAGATTTTCCTTGATATATTTCAAAATCTATCAAGTAGCCCATTATTGTATTCAGGCACCAGACTTTATATCCGAAGCGTATGGGTTTGGCTCTCAGAAACTGCTTACAGCTGTGTTTTCCGTAATACTTGACCATACTCTCATCGAATGCCAAGTCTTTTTCAGGAACGAAATATTTTCGGCACTTCTCTTTTATCCGGTTTACGAATGGTCTTATTTTCCATAGCTTATCACCTTGATCCATGTTTTCGTTGGGAGCTAAATGCAGGAACCTCAAAATTTGCTCGAATCTGTTGCGTCTCATCGAATTATAAACTAGTTCGTTTCTAGTATCCAGACTTTGTTCCCAATACATCCGCTTACTGGGAAGATCATTGTAACCGCTGAGAATCAATATTGCGATAAAACATTTCATTTCATCTGGCGACACTCCTGGATCGGGTTGGTTTTTGAAGAGAGCATACTTATTTGTTTCTCCTACGAGGTATAATATAGTTTCTTCATCCAGGAACATCTCGAAGAAGTCAACAATCGATTTGTTTTGATACGATGAATAATCTGCTTCAAGAAATTGTTTTTCGTTATAGGTGAAATCTCCTGAAATCCAATCCCGGGGGTCAGAAACTTTTGGATATACTATGTGAGCTGGTGACACATTCATATCATTGATTGGAGAAGCATTATCTTCGGATATCTCTTCAACAGATACTTGCGGTTGTGTCTCATTTATGGGAATATCTTCTGCCAGTGTAGTTTCTCTGGTAGTTCGTATTTCTGCATCAGCCAGTAACTGACGCCTGCTCAAATTATCAACATTTCCGCCCTCGTCCTCGTCTCCGGAATCCTCATCCGTAAGAGTAGCTGGATCTGGTGGAGCTATATAAACCGCTTCTATGCAGCCATGTTTTTCATCATCTTCGCCAAAAGCTATGTCAATTGCTTCTTGAACAGTAAGCCCCTTCTCAAGGATCGCAGCAAGATTTCTGAAATAACAAAAAAAATCTAATCTAATTTTTACAACACCCTGTATAACAATAAACTAGAATTTAGGTGTTTTGAATACTCAACAATGAAAATCGAATATGTATACCCAATTATGAATAATCTCGAAAAAATGCTCACATTACATCCTAGCGTTACATATATGTAACACTCAAATTCAAAACAAAAAAACTCTTCCATGAATGAAAATTCCAAGATCAGTATATACAGAAAATATGTGTTTATGTAAACTCATTCTATTTGAATACTTACATCAACTTCATTACACGAAATATAACAAAGGTACTCACTTTTCATCGACGAAGTCCATATCTTTCGACTTTTGAACTCCTATGGATTTTTAGGAGACGAAATATCGGACAAAAAACTAAAATAATGCCTCACAACTGAACGAGCGTGACCTTCAATGCTTTCTGAACCGAACTGACGAGTTATACGGCGAGACTATGTGCTTCGGGCGACAAAACAGCTGATTCGCTGACGCCATTTTACTGTTACATAAAAGCAACGCTAGGCACTAATGGGTTAAGGTGGGAAGTACTTTCCCGCGATTGAATCAGCGTGATTTAAAATCAAAATAAAAAAAAACTACAGTCCACTACAAATCAATTAGTAAAAATGCGATATTTCTTCAATATATCTTTATTTCTTCTCATCAAACATTTTTCCAAACCAAGTGTCCCTGACAAGCTATTCGATTTTTCTTTTAGGTTTCCTGATTGAAAAATTTGTTAAACGCAGTGACATTTTGGGGAAAATCATCTGATTTGTCCTACTGCACATATATTGAAATAATACTAATATTTTTAGTTTACAGAAACGCGAAGAGAATGTCCCAAATAATCAAGTAAAATGAATGTACCACATCCTTGATTAACCTACAGACAGTATTTCTCAATTATGTATTGGTATGGTTTTTTGTAAATATTTCCAGAACCCTCCATGTTAAGATGACGAAATTTTGTCCCGATTTGGGAATGTTAAGAATTTTCTGAATTTTTGATCAGGGACGTGGGCATTTTTTCCCCAACTCTTTTTTCGATATTATCATAATTTTTTCTTGAAAATGATACTCGTTTCAGTAGCGCTCACCATTTTCCACCAAAGTCTGCTGAGTAACGAAAATGGTGATTTTTCTTCATAATAGGATACCAAATTTTCCCAAAAATGCTTTTCGATAGGTAATTCCATTTTTTCCAACATCTACATGTGATGTTTGACTCAAAATATTTGAGGAACAACAAAAATAATAATTTGAAAAATATTATGGTAGGTACCCTATTAAGAAGAGGTAAAGGCCCAAGATGATGATGATGGGTCAACTGAACTATTATTCACAACCCCCGAATGTCGTTTCACTACCTCCCAATGATAAAAAAGTATTAGTTGTGAGCCATCTTGGAAAACCACCCGGTATGAAATATATCAATTCTCTTGCAATGATTTCGCAGAATTATCCCCACCATTCGCGATTTCGCGATTTTTATCAGTTTAGGATTGTTGGTGTTTGGTATTGCTGGCGTATACTTTTTGATGATTGATGATTCTTATTTAGTCTGAGATCCGAAGGATCGGCGCATGTTTTAACAATCAAATTAAGCATCGTCGCATATGTTTACCTTCTCAGAGCACCCGAACTTGACGCCCCATCTCCTACTTTCTTTCCGGGGTCCCCGAGGACGAACTCTGCAAGCTCCCTTTATTCCTCTTCGATCCGAAAGGCACTTTCATTTGAGACTTTTTGAGTAAAAGGGTTACTCTAACACTGAATAAAGAACAATTTCCGATCGTGGTTTATTCAGCATAAGCTGGTAAGTATTTCAGAAAAAGACTTAGGTCTAGAATGAAAATCGTTCCTTTTATATCTTCAATAAAAACAATGAAATATAATGAATTGATATTTCATGAATATAATTCAGAGTTGCAAAGATAATTTCCGGTATGAAAGATAAAAGGTGAACGGAATGCAAAGTAATAAAAAAATATAAGATAAATAACGAGGAGACTCCTTAGCCAGCTTCTACCGCTGCTTATCATTGAAGGTGATCCGACGCATGGACTACAGTGGCGGCGTCTGGATATGCTCTGGCAGGGGTTATATGAAACAAGGCGACGACCACTCGCGACACAAGCCGAACAGGATCAGGCTGCGCCTGCACCCCTTCGATGAAGAGTTGGGACCGGCTGCCGTGGTCGGATTCTCGCGTTCGTCGGCAATGATTCCGCAGAGTCATCCCTATCATTCGCGATTTCATTCATTTATCCGTGTTTGGCGTTTAAGATTGTTGGCGTATTATTTTAAATGATTGTTATTTAGTCTGAGATGAAAAGTGTCTTTATAATAATTGAATATATCAAATAACCTCGCTTAGATGTTACAACATGACGTATTATGTTACAAAACGTAACAGTTAATTAATTAATGCACATGAACACATTTATAAAAATCCAGATTTATAATGTATATGTTAGCATGTTAGCGAAATCCGGTAACAGCGTAACTTCCATTTTCAGCCGTTACTCTGTTTGCCGGAGGGTTGAGGAAGGAAAATATCCTTTCTGCATATGCATAAGAAGGGAGACTATTTTTCCTAAACAAAATATCAACAAACTCCGCCTAAATGAACCTTCTTGCTAGAAAGTATATTTTTCAGAAAATTACTTGAGAGAACAGAAGAGACTACCGCTTCTAAACAACCCAAGCTGACTTGGCCTAAATGAGCCTTCTTTCCGTCATTACAGGGAATGCCTGAAACTATTAGGCAAACGGTGTATGAAATGACTAGGCATTCCAGAGAATGGCGGATTTCACTGTTTGACGCCGACATATATAAAATACATGTATCTATGAAGAACTCTGGCAATGATTTCTCAGAGTTATCCCCACCATTCGCGATTCCATTCATTTATCCGTGTTTGGCAATAAGGATTGCTGGCGTATACGTTTTGATAATTGATGAATGAATCGCAATTTCTATCTCTAGAAATTTATTTTTGTAGCAACAACTCCTATTTGATTAGATTTACAGGGTGTCCGTTAAAAGGAGGTCAATCCATTAACCACATATTCCTTGAACAAAAACAATATGAGTTTCTAAATATCATTTTTCATTTTAGCACTTCATATTCGGTATACAGGGTGTCAAAGTTGGAAATTAAAAACTGTTTTTTTCTAATTACTCGCGTATTTGATAAGATATTGATCTCAAAATTGGTACATTACTTCAGCACAAAGAGTTACATCGTGTGAGGAACACAAAACAGAAAATAACTGTCAAATATTCAAGATACTGGGGGTCAAGTTCACACTTACCCCCATATTTTGTTTGTACGTGCGCTAATGACTTCCTATCTATTTTCCTTCAATTGTTCAATCATTTTTGAGTATTTTTTGTTTCCTGTAAAATTTCGATTGAATCATTTGTTTTTAAGATAATTCGAAAAGTACTGGTTATTGTTTGATGCCTATGCGGCTTAGGTAATCTCATAATGTTCACATACTCCTATTTATTTCGTCGAAATTGAAAGAGGGCGTATCTTTTTACGTACGAAAAGGTAAATATGGAAATACCGGGTGCTCGGAGCAAATGTACTAAAATAATTTTTACAAAAAAAAAAATTAAAAAGTGTAAAAATTATTTAAATGCATTCGCTCTGAGCACCCGGTATTTCCATATTCACCTTTCCGTACGTAATAAGATACGCCCTCTTCCAATTTCGACGAAATAAATAGGAGTATGTGAACATTTTGAGATTACCGTAAGCCGCAAGGCATCAAACAATAACCACTACTTTTCGAATTATCTTAAAAACAAATAATTTCATCGGAATTTTACAAAAATCAAAAAATACTCAAAAATGATTGAACACATGAAGAAAAATAGATAGGAAGTCATTAGCGCACGTACAAAAAAAATATGGGGGTAAGTGTGTACTTGACCCCCAGTATTTTGAATATTTGACAGTTATTTTCTGTTTTGTTTTCCTCACACGATGTAACTTTTTGTGCTGAAGTAATGTACCTATTTTGAGATTAATATCTTATTAATTACGCGAGTAATTAGAAAAAAACAGTTTTTAATTTTCAACTTTGACACCCTGTATATCGAATAAGAAGGGCTAAAATGAAAAATGGTATTTAGAAACTCATATTATTTTTGTTCAAGGAATATATGGTTAATGGATTGACCTCCTTTTAGCGGACACCCTGTATAACAGATATCGGTTCAGGAGGGGTGAAAGAACTTACAGTGACAACTCCACCACATAAACAATTCAATTGACCGGACGGTCATGGCCGAGGACATGTTTCAAAGGAATAATCCTTCATCAGTAAATTTTTTTTTGATCTCTGGTAATGATTCTGCAGAGTTATCCTCACCATTCGCGATATCAATCATTCATCCGTGTGGCGTTTAGCATTATTGTCGCATACTTTTCAAGTTCTTACAATTGAATTGCGGTGTCTATTCATTGATATTTAATCGAGAGATTAGGTGGTGTTTATAATATTAAATGTGTCAAATAATCTCACTTACGCTACAAAATGACGTATTATTATGTTTAAATAAGTGAAGTTATTTCATTTAAGCAAATACGCACATTTAGAGAAGTACTGATTCAATTAGACATAAAATATATCAATTTTCTAGCGATGGTTCCGCAGAATTAATCCCACCATTCGCGATTTCGCGATTTTTATCCGTATTGGCGTTTGCCGTTTGGTATTGCTGGCATATACTTTTTGTTGATTGATGAATGAATCGCAGGGTCTATCTGTTGACGTCTATCACTCTCAGATACCTGTCACTGGCCGGCTAACACAGACATGTGCAGATGCTGATTCGTCAGTGCTCGACATGTCCCTTGTCCGTTTATATTTGTGATAGTGTTCGCGTTTATTGAATTGTGACATTCATTTTCTATTCTTATTTAGTTTGAGATGCGAATCATCGCCGCATGTTTGAATCATCAAATTTTTACCTTTTTAGAGCACCCGAACTTGACGCCCCACCTGCCCCCTCTCTTTCCCGGCGACGAACTGCGCAAGCACCTTTTATTCCTCTTCGAACCGAACGGCGACGGCCGCTCGCGACACAAGCCGAACAGGTTCAGGCTGCGCCTGCGCCCCTTCGATGGCACAGACGACGTGCTGGGGACGGAGGGCGTCGTTTGGTTTTCGCGGTCGTCGCAGCTGCAGCTGGCGTTGGCGGTCGGGTGGGCCATTGTGCGGGAGAGACCATCGGTCAGGGCGTCGAAGAAGGCGGTTAGTTTACATCTCATAATACCATGCATTTACTGAAACAATTAATGGGAATCTTAGCACTATTGCTTTTGCTACGACTGATATTTGACATAAAAACTCGCAACTCTTGTAGGGATATTTTCCTGTATCCTCTAAACAGTGACAATCACTCCCATAACACTAGATGTAAAACCGACATCAAATTAAGTAAACATTCTTTCTAAGAAAAGTCACCGAATAATGCTGGTTGTCGCTTTTACAATCGTCTGCCAGACAATATAAAAAAAGCGGATTCCCCAGTACTTTTTAAATCTCGCCTAAAAGAACTCTCAGCCACACAATGCTTTTGTACACTCGATGAATTCGAGACATATTTAGCAGGACTGTAACTTGCATCAGGAGTGATAATATTGTATTTGCATGTATATATGTTTCTTTATGTATTTTAACTTGGATTGGTACTTTTGTATCTCTCTCATTACTTGTAACGACATGTCCCATCTTGTTTTTATACTAGCTCGAGGGATCAATAAACATTTATTCATTATTTATTTTATTTATGACTTGCCGTACATGTCATTACATAACATGGTCAAATGAACTACTCAACTACTTTACACTTTGGTGGAAGTCCATATTGCTCAAACTGGAGTGGAAATTTTCAAAGGACGAGAGGAATGCCAGAGTTAATTTTAATGACGTTGTAACACAATCAGGGACTTGTTTCGGTCTTAGAAAATACCATCTTCAGCCTAATGAAAACTCAACAATACAAGAAATGATATTGATATGAGGAAATTACATAATTTAGTATTGACTTGGAGTTGACAAATTGAATTACGAACTAGTAAATATGCCTGTCGATGCCCATAGCCAACTCACTGTACTGTACCATACGTCGAATTTCATATACCAAAATAGTAATTCTTTATAATTTATTTTCCAGGAAAAATTTGAATAGTTAGTAAATTGGGAGTCCTGATTCCAAATCTGAAGTGATTTTCGACCTATTTTGACTCCTAATATCATTTTCCGGAAATTGGGGTAGTTTCATGGCTGTTGGCGAGCAGTGTATATCACTGAATATGACCCGACTTGGTCATAGAGTGCATTTTTGGTATATCTCTCGCTCCAGCAAATTTCAGGATCCTTACCCAACGATTACGTAAGATACAGGGGTGGTTCCATTAGAAGTGGGTCACACTGTATAAAGAAATACATTGAGAATTCGCATTCTCCATGTGATGGAAATATCAGTTGCAATATCAGTGCAAAAGGTCCCAAATTATTGCCCGAACATCGTGCTGCTAGAAGAAATTTTGTTGAAAATTATGGACAGTGGAATATTCCTGAATGGTCGAATGTCTTGTTTACGGATGAGTCAAGGTTTTGCCTCAACATGGTGGATGGAAGAAAAAGAGTGTGGAGAAGAACTGGTGAACGGTTTAATCAAAATTTAATAACAGAATGCGAAAGTTTTAATGGTGAGTCCGTTATGGTGTGGGGAGGGATTTTGATGAATGGAAAGACACCCCTTCATGTTTTTCCGGTGAGGCAGTCGATGAATGCCCAAATTTACATTGACATTTTAGAGCAGTATGTCTTACCTTATGCAGAGTTAGTGGGCAATAATTTTATATCGATGCAGGATAATGCCCGACCACACACCGCAGCAATAGTGCGAAACTTCTTAGAAGCTACTGGTATTACATTACATTACAATGGCCTGCGAGAAGCACCGATATGAATCCTATAGAACATTTGTGGGATGAATCAGGGAGAAGGGTACGTTCTGGCGAGAGGTCTCCGGAAAGTCTCGCAGAAATGGCAGATGCATTAGTGGAAGAATGGGATCGTATACCAATGGAAACGATAAGCAACTTAATTTCCAGTATGCCTCGTAGATTAGAAGTTCTTAGAGTTGCTAGAGGAGGCAATACACGGTATTATTAGGCAGTCATCCCAATCTATTATTTTGTTTTTAATAAAAATGTTTTTTAAAATTATTGGTATCAGTTCATTTCATTAGAAAATTGTTTCTCGATAAATTCAGAAAGTTGGTAATCTGCAAGGATTCAGCAAAAAAGCTGTAATTCGGAAAATTTTAGAGATAAATCAAAGAATAAAAAAACAAAATGCATTACCTACCAACAAATAAAAAAAAATGAAAATCGACCTACTAAATGCGTCACTTTTTTTGGAACTGAGTGTAGTTTCAAAATAGTCTTATTGTGTTTAAGTGACAAATCGATACTTTTTCATTTATCAGCTGTCATAAGGTGCTGACATCAAAAACTAATTATGATGGGAGTCCTGAATAGCGCTCGACGAGTTGACGGTATTTCTTGGTGAAATACTATTCCGTTCTCTTTCGTATTGAGGAAATGATCAGAAAATATGAAATCAGAGAAAAAATCAGCTGTCATAAGGTACCGACCTTAAATAACTATCAATTTCGATGAAAAATTAATTCCCAAGAACAGAACAGTTCTGATGGGAGTTCTGAGTTGCGCTCGACTAGTTCTTCTAAATAGTACTATTCTCTGTTTCAGTAAAAAATCGATACTTTAATATTTATTATGCTGTCATAAGGTGATGATCTCAAAAAAATTAACATTTTCGATAAAAAATCAATTCCATAACACAGAACTGTTCTGATGGGAGTTCTGAATAGCGCTTGATGAATTTTTCAAAATATTCTCATTGTGTTTTAGTAACAAATCGATACTTTTTTATTTATTAGCTGTCATAAGGTGCCGACCTCAAAAAACTAACATTTTCGATAAAAGATTAATTCCAAACAACAGAACAGTTCTGATGGTAGTTCTAAGTAGCAGTTGACGAGCTCTTCAAAATATTCTTCTTGTGTTTTAGTAACAAATCGATACTTTTCAATCGATTTTTTTACTTTTGAGGTCGGCACCTTATTGACAGCTGATTTGCCACCTATAGGAACACATTTTCGTATTTTATTTTCTTAAATTATTCAATAATCTGCTATGTTCACAAGAACTATTGATGAAATTGGTTTAGATCTCCAGAACTCTTTATAATACAACAAAAAAATATATCAGTACTCATTTTCTCGAAAAAAAAACGACGCTGCGTGAAGTTAGCGCTCAAAATAATGTTTTTCCAAGCAAATCGTAGATGTATTGCTTGAACCATTCAAAATTTTAGTCAGAAACTCTAGAACTCCATCAAATCTACTCTGAAGTCAAAAAAAAAATTGAGTTGAAAAAATACCGGCGCCAACTTCACATGAGTCAAAAGATGGTGCAGATGAAACCCTACAACTTTCATAATAAGTTTTTTTGGTAAAACTGCACTTATCATGCGATGTTTTTTTTTTCGAAAATTTTTTTGGTCCGTACGTATTTTTGGCTGAAAAACACGAATTTGATGATGAAAATGTGAATAAACCCCTATTTATCGGGATTTTTCAGGAAAAAGTTCGAAATTTGGCCTTGTGTTTCCCCCTGTGTTGGATGCATTTACAGCCACTTGCTCTTCTTTATGAGACGTTGCATCAATATTGATATCAATACCATTAGATAATATTGTGATATGTTGATTTTAGGTTCATCAGATATATCTCAGACAGAGTTGTTATGTTATTTGTGCAACGTTTTCGTTTCACCACCTTATAACGTAGCTAACATGTATAGGGGATTTAAGGGGATAATATTTTTCCTCCTACGGCAAAGTAACCTTGTCAATTGTCAAAAGTCAATTCAATTCCATTCCAGCCATTTTGTTTCAGGGTTGGAATAAGTCATGAGTTTTATAAAAAAGTCAAAAAAGTCTGACTTTTTGAATTAATTCGGACTTTTTTGAATTAATTCATTTGAGAACAAATCAAATTCTATTCACTTGAACAAAATACAAGAACATCGAAAAAACTAAGTTTTTATTTCCGTTGAAAATCTCAAAGTGTGACAATAAAATACTCAAAATATACAATTTTTGCAATATAAACTGAGACTATTGATTGAATGAAAAATGATAATTATGCAAATTATATTACTCATTCAAAATCTTCATTATAGAAGCGCTTTACAGTTATTTTCAATATTATCCATGGCGCGCCTACGGACTGGTGTCACCTTGGAAAGCAATTTTTCGATGCATTGCAAGAAATGAATCCGGACATATTTATTTATATTGTGGTAATTTGTATTACTGATGCAATTCTAGTGGTGACATGTTAGATTTTAGGAATTTCACGTATCATTAGATACACATTGGATCTTACTTTTCTTGCCTTTCTCATGGTTTCTTCTACCCAACTCTTGACCCAACTCAAAACTCGGTGAGAACTAATACACAGAATCTATGATAAAAAGACATTGCAAGCCGGTAATTCCGATTCAGTGTTGAAAAGCCTACATATTATATTTGCTGGAAATATCAATTGGAGCAATCAATTGCATGCAATGAAATATTGTAAACATCGGATATTTCATTTTAAACTAGTTCAAATTGAAGGTAATAATGCGATTTGTTCCCATTTGATAAATTTTGAATTAATTCACGACTTATTTGAAAAAAGTCATTTGAATTAATTCACGAATTAAATCACTGACTTAATTCATATGAATTAATTCGTGCCAACACTGTTTTGTTTGTTGTCTATTATGGTGAACAGGTCAAACAGTGTGATCAGAGTTAAACTTGATTTTCAGATATTATTCGTAGTTATTGAAGTAAGTCAAGAACTAAAGAAGTCTAGGACTCAAATAGACTCGAATGAAAATATGAACTGCTCATGATACCTATTTAGATTCCAGGTTTGTTCTGCTGGAATATAGAAATGCAACCAATATGTATCTGCATTTCATAATATGTGAAAAAGTAGGAGGGATTCGTGAATACGCACTGTGTTCATATTTCACGAATTACAAAAATAATGGGTGAGTTATAGCTAGAAGAAGAACATGGAAAAGAATTTCAAAATAAGTCAGAAAACTTCCAAAAACTCGGATATATTTACATATTACTTTTCAGAAAGTCAGTAAGAGATCACTGGACTATGCAGAAATCATGACGC